TACTCTTAGAGGGAGATTGATCAATCACAGATTTACCTTTTCTAGTCTTCAGCCTTTTTGCAATACCAGAAGCCACATTCTTAATTAATTCATCCTCATATGGAACATTATCAAGGTCCACCACATCCTTAAAAATATTAACCTTCTTCTTATTTTGATCTGAACTATTTGTTTTGTTTTCCACACCAGAGGTACCAGCATCCTCATTAGCATCACCTTCCACCCTTCCTTCTTTGAGCACAGAGTTAGATAACTTGTGCAAATTACCAGTGTTAGGGTTCTTCTTTAGAATGAGAGCCATCAACATATTTTTCTTTAACTTGGCTAGCATCAGTAGTGGGAATGACATCCATATGAGACAGAGAGGTAGAAATCCCAGGAACATTATGGCCTCCATACAGAACCTTAGTAACTAACTTCCTAATAGCTCTATGAACATATTCACTACCCTCTTTGTTCCTATTTTTAGTAGTTGAATCAAGAGGAGTATCAGAAGATTTACCTATAGGGGCCCTTTTGGAACCGCTTGCATGTGTGGTTGTGGATTTTATCAATTCAGCCTTATTACATGGAACCATGGCGAGAGGAGTTACATCAAGCACGTCATCAAATGAGATGCTCACAGGTTGAGCCTTTGTCTTAGAGTCAGACCTAACGGATTTGGACGAGGTAGAAGCTTGTTTTGGAGACATCTTGTGTTTTCTGTGAGTGAGAGAATGGGGTTCAAGTAGAGGTTCAAGAAGTGAATGGGGTTCAAGCAGAGGTTCTGCAAAGGTATGGGAGATGAACGGGTAGTTGGGGTGAAAAGTATGGTTAGCGTAGCGTGTAGAAGTGACTTTTAATAATAAGTGATGTTGAGACATCTTTATTTTTGGGAAATACCAAACCTCTTGAATGATATTTCCACTAAACAATAATTGCTATAAATCCTCATAAATGCAAATCCCTAATTTCCCTCTTAAAATTTCAAATTGACTAGCATCCAAAGCCTTAGTGAAGATATCAGCTAGTTGCTTTTCTGTAGTAACGTGTTCTAAAGTAATGGTTTTATCTTCAACAAGCTCCTTATAAAATGATGACGGATATCAATATGCTTGGTTATGCTGTGTTGAATAAGATTTTTAGAGATGTTTATAGCACTTAAGTTGTCACAATATAATGTCATGACATCTTATGTGACATTATATTCAGTCAGCATTTGTTTCATCCAAACCAGTTGAGAACCGCTACTCCTAGCAGCTATATACTCAGCTCCTACAGTAGATAGAGAGACACAATTTTGCTTCTTGCTGAACCATGATATGAGATTGTTCCCCAAAAAGAAGCAACCTTCTGATGTACTTTTCCTATCATCAGCACTTCCAGCCCAATCAGCATCACAATAACCAGACAACACATAGCCAGATCCATGAGTGTATAACATTCCATACTCACTTGTTCCATTAATATACTTCAGAATCCTCTTTACTTGATTGATATGACTCACTTTGGGTTTAGCTTGATATCTGGCATATACACCTACAACAAAGGCAATGTCAGGTCTGCTTGCTGTAAGATATAACAAGCTCCCTATCATATTTCTATAGACACTTTGATCCATATTAACATCCTTTTCATCTTTAGACAACTTAAGATGGGTAGATATTAGTGTCATGACATCTCCTTCAACATCTCATATCTGATACCAGAATTCCAATATATGAACAAGATAAAAAGCAATTAACAATAGTCATGAGACACAAGCAATTGTTAACCCAGTTCGGTGCAAACACACCTACGTCTGGCGGCTACCAAGTCAGGAAGGAAATTCACTAAATAGAATTAGTTTGAAGATTCACAGCAAACTCTCTCTAGTTTATAATCTTCACACTTAATCTCTACCCTTTCAATTTCTATCTAAGACACCTTTAGATATGAGACACCTCTCACTCTCCCTCAATCACAGCAGTGATAAAAACATATTAATAAAACATAGAAGACACTCTTCACGGACAATACTTGATCTTGCTTAAAAGCTTCAATCAAGAATAATGCACTCTTGCTTAAAAGCTTTAATCAAGAACAATGCGCTCTTTCTTAAAAGCTTAGAGTGGACAACTTACAACTCAAAAACTCAGTCCAATTCACACATCAAGGTGATGAGTGAATGACTCACAATTAACAATAACACAAGAAGCTAAAACCTTATTCCTTACGCAATGCACTAACTTAACCCTAACTTCTCTAATCTTCAAAAAGGATTGCACAGTCTTTATACAGTAACACTTTGAGCGGGTTTGGGCTTTAGAAAAAACTACCTCTGATTTGATAAAATCAAATCAGATAATTCTTCAAATCCTTTCATAATTAACATCATAGAAATAGAACCAAAATAGATTTGATCAAATCAAATCAAATCACACTTCAAATCTTCTCAAGATTTTCTGCAGAAAATAGAACAAAAGATTTCACAATTACTCCACAAATTATGCATCAGAAACTCTTTTGTATAAGGAAGATTTCCACGCAGATTTGTACCACCAAAATCTCTTATCACAACAAAGCAAAAGGTTGCACAAAAATGCAACAGTCAAATCATAACATTCACACTGAATGTTCTGTTCACAAATGTCAGGACATCATACTTGACATCATGAACTAAACCTTGCAATATTAAGAATAGCCACCTGCAGACTGTTAAGAACATATGTCAAGACATCCTATAGGATATCTTGTGATAACACCAAGTTTTACCAAAATTCCTACCAATCATAAAACTAACAGTATGAATTGGTGTTCATATGTGTGGCGTGATTTTGATGATTGATGTATGTTAAATCCATGATTAAATCGATAGAAACACATGTTAATTGATATATATGATTTTTCGATGTTAGATGATGTTTTCCTGATTTTTGTTGTTCGATTTAGTGTCCGGGAAGGGAAAATCGAAGTTCTTAATTGAACTCCATTGCAAAAATTCAGTTTCTACATTTTGGTTCAGGGTGACGGGCGTCACCTTCGTGACGACCAGGTTGTCATGGCTTTTGAGGCACTGACGAGTGTCAGTTTCCTGACGCATAGACCGCCATGGTCCCTATGAGCAATTTTATGGGATGCTCGTCATAAATACAACGTGTAAGGTGACGTGGGCGGTGACGTGGTCGATTCTGATTTTTATGATCGTGTTGTGATTAGAATACTATTTGACCATTATTTGGAGATATTTTGGTGTTATTTATTATTGATTGTTGAATTAATCAATTATTATGATGTTATGCATAATTGTGGTGATTGCATGGTGATTATTTGGTGATATTGCATGTTGTGGTGAATCATGCATCATGGGGTACGGACTACAGTCCAACTTTGGTGTGCTCTGGTCCGTTGTTGTGGATTCAGGAGCGAGAAACTAGTTTCAGATGGGAATCAATGAAGTGTTACTTAGGGTGATAGTAGCGATTTGGTGTGCTATGATCCTGTGATGGGGATTCAGGAGCGAGATGAACATGTGTTGTCCATAATGGTACAACATGCATGTAAAGTCTTGGTGTCAGGTACATTGCATCCATTGTTGCATATGTAATTATTTGATTGTGTTGATATTGGTGGTTGAGAATACTTGTGTAGTTGATGTGAATGAATTGTGTGATTGTTATTGTTTGCTTAGGCTACCCTTGCATACTTTTACACCATTATATATTAGAAATGTATTCTCTCCTCTTTGTTATTTGTATGGTCATGTGATCCTTCTTGGAATACAGACGAACAGGTAAATGATTAGCTACTTATAGGCCGAAGGATGGAGTTGAGGTTGCTCTTTTCTTTCCTTTTTTATGCAATATTTAGATTATGTTGCTCTGATCTAAAACACTGGGAGAGAGAATGTTTGTTTCGTTATTTTTTTTATTATTTTGATGTTGTTGATGCGAGTAAAAGACTTGTAACTCATTATGTTATGCGTTGTTGATCACTTTATTTGAATTATTTATGCTGGGATGAGCCTATGTAAAGGCGAACATGTGATAATAGATGTTTACATTACTGCATGTTTTATTTTAACCGGGATTACAGAGCAGGTTTATGTTGTGTTTGAGTGACACTGTATGTATGTAGTTGTTTTATTTTCGTATTTTCTACTTTGGGGTTGTTAGGGTGTTACACCATGCACGCTCTAAAAACCTCTTGTTTCGCTTCTTACATGTCCATTTAGACCCGCTCATAAAAAAAACCACATTTGGATATATCCTAAAGTAAGTCTTCTAAATTCTTCCAAAATTTTACGCTAAAGTATTCTACTAACCCATCCATAGACACATAAGCCTAATAACATTAAATGTGTCTTGTTCCACTATAAATTTCAAGACTATGATTCGATCTCTTGCCTTTTTCACTTCGTTAATACCCTTCTTCAACTCCTTGTCCACAATAATCCCTACCCCATTTCTCTATTTAACTTTTTCGGTATACCAAAGTTTAAATTACGAGTTGTCTAATTCTTGTCTTTTTACTTGTCCATTTAGTTTCTTATAGCACATAAAATTGATCTTTCTCCTAACCATAATATCTATTATTTCCATAAAATTTTCAATAAGTATGTTTATATCCATACTTTCATCAACTAACTTATTTACCCTTACTTGTTTATGAAATGTACAATTACATATTTTTGTGCATTTAAACAGCGGTTCAGCAATCTTTACTCTTTTGACCATGTACTCAATCATACATTATGTGTTGCTTACGGATAACGATTTAACATTCATATTTCCACATGTAAAAATAAAAAAATAAAAAACTAATGATAAAGTACTATATATATTGAATATTGAAAGTAACTTTTATAAATAAGACCTCACTATTATATATTTATTTATTTTACCAAAAAAAAAATATAAATTCAATATTCCAAAGAATAATGTAGTCTTGGCTTGGTTAGTGTATTTCTTTTTGCTATATAAACGAAGGTTCTAGTCCTCATTTCAACACCTCTGCACCTTTTTCACCTCCTTGATCCATCCATGGCTTCTCAATCTCAAACAAAACTCACCGTCTCAACCTCACCCAAAAGCGACAGTGGAATCGGCGATCTAATCCCCAAAGGACAACAGTGTCTATGTTCTCCAACGACACACGAAGGATCTTTCCGGTGTCGTTTTCATCGATCAGGGACATTTTCGTCATCTACTCCTCCATCCTGGATCAAAAGAACCAAATCTATGCCTCCTAATCACAAATCAGTTGTTAATGTTTCTCTTTCTGTTTCTCCACAGTGAGTCACTGAGTCACTGGTCTTCTATGTCTATGCTTATAATTAAGTTATGGATCATTAACTACTTTAAGCTTTCATTAAATCTTCATTATTATTATGTAAGGCTTTTTATTAAGCCTCTTGGAGTTTGATTAATTATATATATATATATATATATATATGTATATATATAATTATCTATTTTGTATATTTTCATCTTATTATGCTTTCATACTATACTGATCTAACACCTCAATAGCTTAGAAACAAGAAATTTAGGTAAAATTTTTTTTTATTTTAAGATTAATTTTTAACAAATTCATGTAAAGATGAATTTGATTCTGATATGTGACTTCGGTGCCTCCGGCTCCAGATTTGGTTATACAAAGCAGGATTTCTATTTTTATTTTAAAAAAACTTTTTTTTACATATTATTTATAAAATATTTATTTTAATTAAAGACTAAAGGTTTTAGTGTGTTGTAAAATTTTCAAATATTCATCATTAATTTGTGTATTTTAATGCTTTTTTTTCTTTTAGTTATTAGTTTTAGTGACTAAGTTTAAATATTTTATATATTGAAAAAATAAAATAAAATATAAGTACTATACTAATCTAGAATTAGAACAAAACAATAAATGTTAAAAGTAAAAGTTTGTATTTTTTTAAAATTTTTTAAATCGAATATCTAGAGGGGAGAAATCTTTATATCTTAGAAATATATCTGTATCCATTGTATGTTTTAGTTTTTAATTAAAGATTTAAAATGAATAATTTTATATTTTCAGAATTAAACTAAATTTATACAAAAAATGCTACAGTTAAAATAAAAAACATATTATTACTAATTTGATGCAAAAACATTTTTTAAAAATTGGTACAATAGAAAAAGGAAAAAAATTCTGAACACAGATGAAGGAGATCCTCTTCAAGAAATATTTGTTAAATGAAACCTTAACCTGATATGAATGAATAAAAAATAAAATAAAAACATAAAAATATAAAATTTTAAAACTGTAGGCAATCGCAGATTTTACTTAAAATTTTAGGGAGGAGCTGCAAATATCAATCAGAGGAATTAGAGGAACAAGAATGAAGGAGAAATTTCTCTCGTGACATAGACCTGAGGCAAAAACAGAAAATAATTTAAATATAAAAAGAGAGACGAGTGAATTTTTTTATCTCAATTTCATCAGATTAACTTTCTTATTAAACCCATATATCAAGAGTGTAAATATTTTTAATTTATTTAGTTAATGTTAATTTACATTGTTTTTTAGTAAATGTAAATTTACACTTTATTATAGTTTTTTAATATTTTTATAGAAAAAAATTGAAGTAAATTATCAAATCTTTATAAGATTTGCTAATTGGTGTTTATAAATCTTCCCAATTTCTCTAAATTAGCAAGTAATATTTTAATGATATTTAATAAATTTATAGTTATACATTATTAATTTACACAACAGAAAAAAATTTGCATACTTTAAAAATTAATATAAATTATATATTTTTAAAATATTATTGATACTAACTATATATAAAATGTTATAAATGTTCTTTAAAATCTTTGTTGATAAAGAGAAAAAAAATATATTTTGGAGATCGCAGTTATAGCGAAAATCAGAAGTTGTAGAAAGTCGGACGAAAAGTCGAGGAAAAAAAATTGGTCGTTGAATAGTGTCGTTTGTACGGTGAATAGTGTTATCCGTACAGGAAAATAGTGACGTCCATGCGGTGAATAGTGTTGTCCGTACAGTGAATAATATTTTCGAGTTTTTGGACTTTTTTGATTCGGTCCATGGATCCATTTGATTTTGGGCTTTGTTTGTTGGGTATATGCTATTATAAATATGTATCTCTTATATGTTTGGTGTGTGACAATCTTAGAGTTTACACCAACAAAGGAGAGCAAGCGTTTAAAGGCATAAAATAGGGTTTTAACTATTCACAAGGAAAACCTTAGAAAAGCAAAGGTTTAGGGAAACCTTTGGAGTTGTTTAAGGTTATTGTGAAACACTATTACACTTTGGGTTTGAGTGATTCATATATTGAGAGTTGGAGAGGTTGGGAAACACTTGAGTAGAAAATAGGGTTGTTCTTGGGAACCTGAAGGTGAAGGCTATTTTCTTGTAATTCATTTGTAATCTCTTATAACAACTTTTTGAGTATAGCGAATTGGAGAGTTGCTCTCTCTCCCAGAGTAGATTGTTTGATCGAACTGGGTAAACAAACTTTCAATTTTTTCCTTACCTTATTCTGTTGTATTATCTGTGTACGGATTATTATTGCTGAAGACCATTTATTTTGGTTGCTATTGTGTTTTGCCTCACAAATTGATATTGAATTTTATCGTAATTCACAACAAGATTCACAAGAAGTGGTGCGGTGAGCGTGAAGCAAAGAGATATTGTTGACAAGTGAGCATCATGGTTAGTAGATGACAGATCGAGAAATATTTTGGTAACAATGACTTCGGGTTGTGGAAGAGTGAAACATTAATGCCTGCAGGGCTTACACGGGTACAGAAGACCGAGATGATGGATAAGCCTGAAGTGTCATTATCTTGTGCCTCGGGGATAAAGTTCTAAGAGAAGTCGTCAGGTGTTCGCCGTGAAAATTGGTGAACAACCGCTGGTCTTACAAATCGAAAAAGATTTGTTTTATTTGCAGGATCGACCACACAAATCCTAGGACATATGCTAATTGATCTTAAACAAAGTTTAAAAAGATGATGAACACTTCGACAAAGCTCATGATAAAATAACTTATTTTAAGTGTAAACGGAATTGAACATGAAGGAGTAAAATCGAAGTACTGGTAAACGAGGAAGACAATAACTTGCATAAAGAAAGGATAAATTCTTAATGAAAAAGATTTATTAAATTGCATTGAAATGTAAAAATGGTGTTACATCAACGTACATTCTTACAAAATCGTTTCTCTACACACGGGTACTTGGAGTATACTGAAGAATTTGTACACAATTGAACACACAAAAACCCTAACACTAAGACTTGCTATTTATACTAATCGAAAATAACTGTCATTAACGGCTAGCAAACTAAATCGAGACAAGGTGGCGCTCTGCATGTCTTCGTTTTCTAGAAACGCTCAATGTGTCTTCTTTGAGAAATGGATAAGAACAAACTTTCCCTCCTTTATTTGAATTCAAATCTTCATGTCGAAATGTCTTCAGTAACACCTCTGTCGAATCGAATCTTCCAACTGCTAAGAAATATTTCTAAGTCCGTAAAATAGATTCTCCTGGAAAAAGGACGCCTTCGACTCACATTCCAAAAATATGGCTCCAGTCGAAGTCATTAAATTTCTTCAAAAACTTTATTACTTACTTTTAATTCCATTCAGGCGTCGAAATTAAGAGCCAACAGTAAATCTAGGGACTTTTTCCCCTCTTACCATAAATCAAAATCCATAGGGCAGGCCAACAAATCTAAGGTTGAGAAAACTTCTTCTGATGCGGTAGTATTGAACAATATAGATTTAAGGTATATGAACAATAGCTTTAGAGTTTTTAGAGAAACCCTATCCTTCAAAGATTTTGATGATTACATGAATTGGCTAGCAAAAATAGAGAAATTTAAATCCCAAACTTCGAAAAACCTGGGAATCTACGACCTGATTATGCTGTCAAAAACAAGTCTTGATTATTGTCCGACCATGTTGGTTTCTTCTTTATACTTTTGGGATAACACCCACTATACTTTCTATCTCCCTTGTGGGATGATGACTCCCACACTCTTCGATATAACCGCTATCACAGGGCTCAAACTCACTGGAAACACTTATGACCCTGACCTAGAATCTGATGATTCCATAGGTTTTTAGCACTTTGAACTCAGTCATCACCACTGAATTCGCTTCCCCAACCTGTTAGGGTTATCCCAGATATACCAAGGTATGAAAGGTTGTCTTCTCCTACCACCTCTTTATCCCATCGAAAACAATGGACGAGATGCAAATACAACAAATAATAAACATTGTCATCTGGGGTGAAAGCAAAGCCATTCGGATTGCATGGAGCAATATTGGCCAAGTGCTTATCGAAACTACGCCTGTCGACATGGTTAATTGTGGCCTTGAAATAACCCTGATCAGCCTCAATATTTTCGACAATGTCGTCTGGTCGCCATATTGTAATTCTCTTGTGCATGGAAGATGGTACAACCTCAATTCCATGGATCCACACTTGTCCCAATAGCAAGTTATAATTGGCTTTCATTTCAACCACCATAAAAACAGTAGGTCTTGTAACTGTCCCCACCGTAAGGTCAACTTGTATGACACCAAGAGTAGTGCCCACCTTTCCCTCGTAGTTCGAGAGCACCATATTGTGTGGTTTGGTGTCCGTGTCGTATTTGCCGATTCTCCTCAGCATAAAGTGCGGCATCAAATTCACCGTAGCACTACAGTCCACCAGAATTTTATTGACAACAATGTTTTCTACCTTACCGGTAATAAATAAAGGCTTCAAATGATTTTTCATTGCCTCATCTGGCCGTTCGAAGAACGCATTCTGCTCTTCGACACAACCGTTATTCATCGCATAGTAGCAAACTGGCTTGTGTATCGCCATCTCTGCTTCTGTATACATGTCCAAATCTTCGACCTCAGTTATCTGGTCGAATTCTCTAGGTAGAACCGATACCATATTTACTATGATATCCAATTAGGCCTTTGACCCAGAGTCGAAATTATCTGTCAGCATTTCATTTTCATCAATTTCTAGATCGTGCTTTTCCTTAACCTCCTATCCTTGGGTAGCAAACATCTTTCTCCCCACGGGTAGCTTCTCGAAAGGTTTTATTCCTCCTCTTTCTCTTTCATGGTAGGGAGTTTAGTACTAAATTCATCCTTAGCCCCAGCCTCTCTTTGCGCCTTCCTTCTGCGATGTTCCCTTCTCCACTAGAATCGAGACATTGGATTTTTTCTTTTGTAGTTTTCTGAGATGTAGGTCGTTTTCTTCGAAGCTTGAAACCCCTGCGGTAAGCCATTAATGAGCCC